TTCTGTCCACTGGTGCAAAGGCCCTGAGGCTGTGCTGAGCGCTGAGCCCTTTTGGTTAAGTGCTGGGTGCTGGAGGGACCACCATGACCGCCACCAGGGGCCTGGCTGCCGGGACCCAGACTGAAGGATTGTGGTGGCCCTGCCCTGGGGTCTCTGGCCATTCTGTCCCCTCCCTGGGCCCAGTTTCTTCTCTTATAATGAGCAGGAGTGACCAGGTGAGGGCTAAGAACCCAACACCGAACATGAGTTTGGATCCAGAGCCCCATGGATTCACTGAGATAAAATGAAACCCTACTGAGACACCGGGTGCAGTGCGTTTTTAGGGTTCTGAGTAGCCCCGAATGCAGGACCCCTGAGCTCTGCTTACTCTCAGCCAGAGGGTGAGGGCTCGGGCGTGAGCTGCCTCTAGGCCCCTTGAGATGGAGAAGCAGCAGCCTTGAACTCAGAGCCTTCTGCCCCCGCAGTCTCGTTTCTGTGCCCCACTGCTGAGTGGCCCTCCCGAGTCCAGCCAAGCAGCAGTGTGGGTTCCAGACGCCGTGTTTGCAGAGGGTCTTCTCTCTTTGCGTCTGAAAGGAGAGTGGTGGTCCAGAGAGCCAGGCCGAGCCCAGACACACGGCCCCTGTGGGAGGCAGAGCTGTAGCCACCAGACCTCCTGACCGAGCCCTCCTAGAGGATTTGAGCTTCGTGCTAAGAGCCGCCCACGGTCTAGCTCTGCATATGTCTTCACTTTTCGGGGGATCATTGCCTTTGTAGGATTCCTAGTCTTACAGTTGTCCCTTGGTGTCCGTGGGTCTGGGCCCAGGACTCCCACCCCTGGAGAGTGGATCTGTGCTGCTCAGGGCCCTGGGTAAAAGGCACAGTGTTTCTGTGTAACTGGCCCGCGTCTTCCTGGGTACCTAACCTCCCAGGGCACCTGCAGCACCAAATGACACGCGTGCCAGGTAAAGAGCTGTCGTTCCGTGCTCTTTAGGGGACACAGGTCGCGTGTCCTTTATCCAAAATGGTTGGGACCAGATGTGTTCCAGATTTCAGAATTTTTCAGATTTTGTAATATTTTCATAGGCTTTACCAAGTGAGAATTTCTCATCCAAAAATCCAAAATTTGAAACCTTTTGAGTGCTGTGATGCTCAAAAACACCTCAGGTTTCTGACTCTTGGATTCTGGGTTTGTGGAAGGGTGATTCTCAGCCTGCAGTGGGGAGACCCAGTCCCACGTGGTGGCCGCCCTGGGAGTGGCCCTGTGACTTCACGTGGATGGTCTGCAGCATCCCAGGAGAGACGGCACAGGGCCTCACTCAAGCAAGCAAGACACACACGCTGGCCGGATTTTAACTGTGGCTTCATGATTGCCTTGGAATACGTGAAGCTCTTCGTGCTCCAAGAAATTGTGCTGTGATTGCAGCCCATTCGATTCCGAAGAACTGTCTTGAATTCCAGTGAGTTTATAAAGGAAAAAATAAATGATGTATAAATAAAACTCGTGAGGTGGGCAGGTGGCGGAAAGCCGTTGTTCAAAGTCCTCGGGGATCTATTTCCAGGGCTTTTGCTCATCAGACCGCTCTCTTTCAAAGGGAAACCGTGCTGCTGGTGTTTCCTCCGTGTATAGCAAAAATAACCTGTCTGACGCTGGGACGGGCAGCTGAAATCCAGGCTTGCTCGTGAGCCTTTGAGCCTGCGGAAGACGGGGAGTGTGGACCCCGGTCCGCGCTGGCCTCCAGGAGCCCTGGTCCCGGGAACAGATGAATGAGCTCGGCCGTCCCCTCCTGCTGGTGCTCCCGAGGCACCGGCTCACTTTCTGGTCACCTGTCCTAGGTGTGGCCGCCAGCCTGGTCCTGGGCCAGGAGGGAGCCATGAAGCAAGGGTTGCGCTGGTCCCGTGGGGGGCTGACGCGTCAGTCCCGGGTTGGGGTCCTGAGAGCTGAGCGGGTCATCTTCCCTGCTGTGCCTCAGTGCCCCTCAGTAAGCAGTGGCCCTGGCCGCGTGGGACCATTTGCCGATGACACGTGTGCCTCAGTGGCGACTCCCACCTCTGTGCGGGGTCACTCAGCCTGCCTGGGCCTCTAGTTCTGAGATCCCCTGGGTAAATGTGGGTCCCACACCCACAGATTCCACCCTGCCCATGAAAATGCCAAAAAAACAGAAACCAAAAAGCAGAGCAGTATTTATACTGACCATACACTGATTTTTTCTTGTCGTTATTCCCTAATAGATGCAGTTACTATTGGTGTAGCATTTATATTGCATTAGGTGTGCTAAGCAATTCAGCGGTGATTTAAAGTATATGGAGGGTGTGTGTCACTTTCATGCACACTTTGTGCCATTTTCTGAAGGAACTCGTGACTTGTGGTGCTCAAAGGTGTCCTGGCACCAGTGCCCCAGATACCAAGGAACCAGCGCTGGTCAAAGCCTTTCTGGTCTCCCAGGCAACACCTGGGTCCCCAGAGCTGTGCTGTGGATGCGAGCAGCCCAGCAGTCAGTGGTGGCCCGAAAAGCGACATCCCAGTGTCTCACCCCACAGGGGCACACGGGCCCGTCTCGTGGGGAGCACGCGTACCCTCACCCAGCACCAGTAATGTCGGATGTTTGGGGTGCATGGAGCCACTCTGGGGTTGTCCGTTCTGTAATCTGGGTCTGAGGACTAGGAGGACACTGACCTGTGCCCCTGCCCAGGTGTGTGCGGTGCAGTCCTGCAGAACTAGGATTCCTGTAGCCAGGTCTCTGGGGAGGGTGCCCTGGGCAAGGCCTGCACGGGGGGCTTACGTCTTTCCTTGGCTTTTCTTGACCCTCGTTCCCTTCCTTCGTGGCTTGGGGGGGTCCCTCTGAGTAGCAGGGAGGGAGACCCAACCTGTTCAGTGGGCTGCACCCCAACAGGGCTGGGGAGGTGGCTGTGGGGCCAGGTCTGCATCTCAGGCTGGCCGCCATCCGTGGCACAACCTTGACCTTGGTTATGTGGTTGAAGGCCAGGGAGGCTGAGAAAGGCAGAGTGGGATGGCAGGTCTTCCCAGCTCCTGGGGAGGGTTACCTGTGCACCCATGCCACACGCGAGATCATGGTCTTTCCCGCTGGAAGCACACAGGGCCCCTTCGGTGTTCATGGCCTAGGGGTTGGAGCTGGCTTTGCTTGCAGCCCATGCATGCAGAAGCCTGAGGGGCCGGCCCCACACGGTCAGAACATTTTAAAGGTCTTGTATTAGAAAAGCAAACCAGTTAAGTAATACTGCCCCCATAAATGCTGACTTGTAATGGGTTCCTCGGTGGCAGTCGCGAAGCCTCTGGCCTCAATGCGCCCGTCTGCCACTGTGGGGAGAATTTAATCTTGCGTGGCCTGTGCAGAATTCTGTGGGTTTAATGGCTGTTTTCTTTCTCCTCCGAAGTGTTGCTGTGTCATTGTGCACGGGGCAGCTCGTGTGCGTGTGACAGTTTACCTTCTTTTTGGTGGAAATGAAAAATGAAGTAGTAAATTAAAGAAAAACACAAGGTATATATATTTTTTCCCTCTTGGGGCAAAAGCAGGGGAACAACGAAGCAGTGTTCCTGGGCACAGCCTAGCCTAATCCAGTCCGGGTGGCTTTAATGCATTGGCATTTGCCCGCAGATCCATCCTCCCCTGGGAAGGCTTCTGGGCATGTGGGCTGTGTGTGGAGCTTGTGTTTCGGCCCCAGAATACTTGGGGCCCTCAGAGGAGGGGCGGCAAACTCCAGCCTGGGCACCACCAATCTTTTGTGAGCAGTTGAAAAAAAAAAAAATCAAAGCTGCGAGTGGTGGTGCACATCTGTAATCCACCACTCGGGAGGCTGAGGCTGTGGCAGGAGGGTCAGCCCGAGTTCAAGGCCAGCCTGGGCTACAGAGCAAGTCCCGGCTGCTTGTGGGAATGATGCCTTGCTTTTCTGATGCGGTGGGTCACGTGGTCCTGTGCCGTGGCAAGTGTCATGCAGTGCGGGTATGTGCGCAGCTGCCTCACCACCGCGGTAGGCAAGTGCAACGCGAGCCAGGGTAGGCCCTGGGAACAGCTGTCTTCTTCCTGACGTGTGTGGTCCGCAGTGAAGTCTCAGCCCCAAAGACTCAGGCCTGTTTGTAGACCTGGCCTCAAGGACTTCAGAAGACCCTCCCACCTGGGGCTGGGATCAGGCGTAAATGAAGACTTTTTCTTTCGTAAATCTCTTTCCTGAGTTTCTTGCACAGTTTACTTCGGTGTCGTCCGAAAGGGTTACACTCCGTGTTACAGTGATCCCTGCTGACCCACAATTGCAGCAGCGCTGTTCATAACAGCAAAATCTTGGAGGTGGCTTATATGTCCCTCAGCTGACAAATGGATAAAGAAATCATGGTATTTACACACTGTGGAGCACAAAGGATACATCTGAATCATTTGTAGGAAAATGGACACACTTGGAGACCAGAAACCGAACTCAGGGCCTCATGCTTGCCGGGCAGGCGCTGTGCCCCCACGCTAGGTCCCTTGAGACAGCATTGTGAAGAGAAATAAATCAGACACACAAGCTCCAACATCACACGCCTCCGAATAACTAAATAAAGGTCCAGAGAAAAGATAGTGGGGACCAGAGAGGGAGCTCTCTTGTAGAAGGGGTCAGGAGATGGAAGGACAGCAGGCAAGGGGGGGCAGAAGAATTAGTGTGTGCTCTGTGCTCACACCAACTCCCACGAGCGACGTGAGGGTCATGTCCCGCACGCAAACATGGGCGGAAGAGAATAAAAATTCAGGAAAAGCAGCAGATGCACAATCTTGCCATTGTCTTCTGTGAGCGTTGGAGGCCCGTCTTGCACTCAGAGCCTGGTTTCCGCCACGCTGGGTGTGCCTGAGGCCCGTGTGGGGAGGACACGGGGTGGCTGGGCCACCCGATCACGGAGTGGCACAGAGCCTTTCTTTGCTTGTTGTGCTCTTTCTTCCCCGCCTGCTGCCTGCTCCCTCCTGACATCTTTTTCTTTGTCAGTCAGCAAACCTTCCTGGCTCCTCTCTGACAAGTTCACTTTCTCTCCTCAGTCATGCGGCGGAATCCCTTCGGTGTGGACATCTGCTGTCGAAAGGGGTCTCGGAGTCCCCTGCAGGAGCTCTACAACCCAATCCAGGTAAGCCGGGGCTGCCTGTGTGTCATTTGGTGTGTATGGGGGCAGGGCCCTGAGAAACTGGGAAACTGGCTTCCGGGCGATTTGAAACTTCTGCTCCCAGCATCTTGACCTGCAGTGGTGGCTTCCCTCATCTCCTCACCAATAAACAGGTTGAACATCCCTAAAAGGAAAACTAAAGCCCACAGTGCTTCTGTAAATCCAGAGCTTTCTGATCCATCACCGTGTTTCTGGCCCCTGAAGCAGGCACCCTGGAAACTGCACTAACTGACCCTCGGGCCACGTAGCAGGTGCATCGGTCACCTCTGAGATTTCTCATGAGGTCTGTGTACATATTCCAAAGTCTGAAAAAATTCCCAAATCCGAAACACTCTTGGGCCCAGAGTTTTGGGTAAGGGACACTCAACCTGTGACATTTCTGAAGTTCCAGCCTGAAATGTTTCAGGAAGTTTCGCAGGGGTGCGGGCTGACATGTTCAGATCTGCACAGTCTCGGGTCCTAGCAGTGGGCCGGGGCAGAGCCCGCTGGGCCGTGCTGTGTCTCCCACGTGGGTACACGTGCCACCCAGCTCCCGGGGGGATAATCCCAGTTTGGTGACCCAGGTTGGTATGACTTGTCCCTTTAGCGAGGGAGGTGCTGTTGGTGATGAAGAGTTCCCCTCGGAGCAAAGAAAAATCTCCCACAAAGGAGCAAAGTTAGGAGGCCTGGTCATCGTGATAACCACCTCATGGCTGCAGGGCATGAAGTGGGCCTCACATGGGCACATTCCTTAGTATCTGGCATGGGAGCTAGTGACGAGCGAGCGTTCACATCAGCCCCTCTGCCCTTAGCCACTGTGGAAGAGGGAGGAGGCCCTGTGGTACTCCCTGGGCCTGGCTTGTTGTGGGGTGTGAGTCCTTACTCTGTGGTCCTGGGCCTGGTGGAGGAAGTTAGGACCAGCCTCGCAGGTGCTGAGCTCTTAGAGCCACATGGCTCTGCAGCTGCCTCTCACCTGGCCTCTCACCTGCCACCTTCTGGAATAGTGGGCTAGTGTCTGCCCTGTGTCCCCACATGGAGCTCTGGTGGGACGAGGCTGGATTCACCTGGGAATTGCTGCCTAGGGGCTCAGCTCGGTGGGGAATCTAGATCAGCCCCTTCTTAGGTGCCCAGTGCTCTGGCTGCTAAAGGCAAGGCTCCCAGCCTGTCTGCACCCCTCTGTGGGCTCTGACCACGCCAGGGTCTCCCTGCAAACCATGCTGAAGCCCTTGGTGCTGCCACATGAGCCTGCACTGGCCTGTGTTTTTGGTGAGGCTGGTGTTGCAGTGGAGCTGTTTGGGGGCGCTTTTCCCACCATCTCCCCAGGACCTTGCACAGGGCCTGGCCCATTACGGGGACCCCAGACCCTGGAGCTGAGGAGCAGAAGCTCTGCTTTCCTGCCGTCTAGCTGCATGTCCTGGAATATCCCCGAGTCCTTTCTGTGTCAGTGACCTGGCTCACTGGGATGGTGGCAGGATTGTCAGGGTGATGAATCTGGACTCCACAAGATGATGTTGCTGTGGTCACAAAGGTGGCGTCCACATTGGGAGCCTTGACTTCAGAGTCAGACCTGGGTTCAAAGCCTGGCACCGCCGCACCGGCTGTGTGACCTCAGGCCGGTTCCACGGCCTCTGGGATTGCTGTGGCTCCCAGAATATGGTGGGTGTTGTGCCCCAGGGGAACAGTACATCATCATCACACAGTGCCAGGTCCCAGGGGCAGAAAGGAATGAGGTGGGCTGTCCCTGGCGGTTCCTCTAGGTGGCCCAGGCCGGGGTCTGTCAGTCCCTGTAAGGTGGCCGTCTAGGGAGAGCAGGTCTCCTCCTTGTGTGCCCGTGAGTGTCTGGGTGAGGGGCTCACGCAGCCTAGAACTTGGGGAGGGGAGGGTGGCACTGGGGTCGCTGGGGAGGGCGCAGTGGGTGTGTGTCACCGTCCCTCCTCAAGGGTGCCCTGGGCACACTGCCCGGCCCTCCACTGGCAGCTGGGGAAACGTCTCCGCAGGAAGGTCGCCCATTTCCTCGGGATGTTGCCTGCATGGCTTTTCTTAGGCCGGCTTCCTTCACAAGCTGCAGCTCCGTTCCCTTCCGTCCCACGCGAGCTGCCTCAAGGTCTCGGAATGTCAGTGGCCGGAGTAGTGTGAAGGGCAGGAAGGAGCTGTGACTCAGTGGAGCGCCTTGGTTTGGGGTCCAGGAGATGCTAATGGACTCTGGACCTTAGGGGCTCAGCCGGGTGCCCTGGATTTCCACACCATCTGGTCTTTGCCCTGCTGAGCCTGGGAAGACTTTGTCAGAGACAGACGACAGACCCTCTGATCGCTAGGATCAGACGTTCCTGGAATGGTGTTTTCCTTTTTCTCTACTGCCTGGTTACTTGGGTTTAATACTGGGTGGCGAAAACAGGAACTGTTTGTTTCTCTGCTGAGGAACAGATTTATGTCAGGAAGCTTCAGCCACAGCGCTGGTGCGGCTCTGCCCTGTGTACCTGAGTGTTTCTTCAGCACCTGTGTGGGCTCCGGCGCTCCCTGGGGTTCAGAAACACCTCGTGGGACCCTTCTTCTGCACTGAGCCATTACTTCTTCATTTTATGCAGGCGAAACTCAGGCCAATAATGGTAGCCAAGTGGTCTGTGGACTTGGCCACAGAACAAGCTACAAATCCAGGGTTACCAGCAGCTGCTAGCAAAGTTCTCTTGCAGAAATTGCCTCGTTCTCCTAAAAAACAAAAATAAATCCCAATTTTTCACCAGACAGGCATAAACTTCCCTTGGGAAGATTAGCTATCATCTGATTTTATAAACTAGGATTTTCTTATTTTAGTGCCCTGCAAACCTCTAACATTAAAACTACAATTGGTTTAAAAAAACAAAACAGCTTTGTAGTTGATATTCTTAACAACGCTGTACTGGGATGTCTTATAATTTTCCTGGTTCTCGGCTGTCTCTCTGGGTCCCAAAATAAAACGTAATTGTGGATCAGATCAGCTGGCATGAAGTCACCAAAAGTTCAGAAGCTGCCAGCTGCACATTTGTGGGCTGGGCACAGCTGTGGGCCACTGGGCTGGGCCCACGCCCCCGGCAGAGCTCCGCTGTCGGGTAATCAGCCCTGAATGGCGGCGAAGCGAGACAGCTCGGCCCCTGCGCCCACATGCCCCCGGCTCCCTGACGGTGCTCTTTCGGCTCTGCTCTGCCCCCCTGGGTCTTTCTTTAGCACTTGCTCTGTGATTACCACGTCCGAGGGCAGGGCCTGGCTGACCGAGGCTGGGAAGCAGCGCATCTGGTCTGCTCGCTTTCTAGGGCTCTTGGGGAGCAGTCAGTGTCCTGGATCTAGACGGATTCTGGGTGAGCAGTCGGGGGAAACAGCAGATCCATAAGGAGCGGGAAAAGGACCCAGGCCACCACCGCGGGCCCATCTTCCATGCGCTGGGGGGCATTTCCTTCTCCATCAGGAAGGCTCAGGAGGTGGACGCAGAGGACGGAGCAGGGAAGGGGAGGCAGGGAAAGGGGACGGAGAAGGAAGCCAAATGCCACTCACTGGGCCGGTGGTGCACATCTCCGACTGCTGTTTCCCCAGTGCTCTGAGTCTGATTCGCAGTGTCCCCGAGCTGGTCAGGCCCCTCCCTACACAGAGCTGCAGCCCTAGCGCCTCTTACAGCTCTCTTACCCCAGAGAGCCTCTTGGGGTCGCCAGTCTCGATAACTGAAGCTCGGCGGTTCGCCGTGACCATGCAGCTCCTCAGTGACAGAGCCTGGCCCGTGGCGGGAGGGTGACCACCCAGGGCTGCGCCTCTCCAAGGCGGTGAGGGTTTCCTGGACAGACTCCCCCCAGTGAGTCAGGAGGAGGCCTGGGCGGTGGGGGGACCACTGTGGAATTCTCAGGGCAGGAGCCGAGGCTTCAGAAAAGGGGCGACCCCACTGGTGAGGCCCTGGCACAGGCCTCACACTCCCCTGTTGCTTACTGAACCTGATCTTTGGGCCAGGCCAGGAGAGGCCCATGTCGCTGGCTGGAGGGAAAGCCCCAAGAACTCCTCTGGGGCGGCACCCCTGGGGACCCTTGGGCGACCAGGACTTTGACTGGGTGGAAAGTATTAGATTGATAAAGTTGCGGTAGACTGAGGGTGTAGGTGGGGGTGGGGAGCCTTTGGTGGTACCTGCCAGACTTGGCTTCTACCGATGTTGACAGAAGCAGCAGGTGTAGGGGGTGGAGGTTTGGGAAGTGAGGTGCCCAGGCAGTGTGGAGGTACTGTAGCTGGCAGACGTGTGCAGCTGGCGGTGTCCCATGTGAGCACGGAACCCACCCAAGGGTGGTGCACAGTGGGGTGGGGAGGGAGGCCCAGGCTGCTGAGTCCATCTCTAAAGACATTGTGCATAAACGGTGAGGGAAGGGGGAGGGGGAGGGGAGGGGGAGGAGCAGGGGAGGGGGAGCAGCAGCAGCAGCAGCACTTCAGGGAGAGCAGCAGGAGCGAGGTCCACAGCAGGGGACAGCCCAAGGCACTTTCAGAAACCTGGGAGGGTTTGTGGCTGGTCTAGGGTGGCCCTGGCATCATTTGGAGACGGCAGGGAGGGTAGGTGGGCACCATGCTGAGGCCTTGGTGGCCTGCAGGGCTGCAGAGGGGACAGCTAACCACTCTGCTTCCCTCCTGGCCACCCTGCTGCCCACGGAGCTCCTCTGAGGCTGGTTTCCCTTGCCTTTGGCACTGGGGCCGCCTGGTGCTGGGCCCAGTGTACCCTGGGGAGGGCGAGCAGGAACAGCCGCTGCTCAGCCCACGCGCTGGCCAATTACTCCCTTCATTACCAAGCACCTGGTAAAAGACGACTCTGTCTAATTACCTTGCTTTGACCAGCAGCTGTCCACCAGCCAAGGCGGGCCTAATTGATTTCACTGCGGCCCGGCTCCTCATGCGGGGAGATTACTCACTGTCAGCCTAGCAGGACGGCAGCTGGCGCGCTGAGACACAGCGTCACATTAACCTGGTGTGACACGCTGTGCTGGCAA